TGCATATCTCTGTGGCGTTGAACTTTGACCCATCTGTCAGGTCTGAACACAAAGAAACAGTTGTCAGTGGATGTTTATTGACCTTAGAGTAACACGTTAAAGAAAAACTGCATTTCTTAGTTTGTGGATTTATTATCACACCTTCCTCGTTAAAGTCTTAAGATATTAAGAGTGTTATTAGCACAGAAGTCAGTTTTAGAACTAGTATATTGAAATCTGGGGGATAAAAATCAACAGTTAACATATTATTAGAGATAATTGCTTAGACAATAAAAAATATTGTTTTAAAGTGAAAACAAATCTGTGATAATAAAAGCAATTACATATACAATATATTGGTTCCTGATGGCTTTGTACTGGTTTGTAATGGTATTCTGAAAATTTCAAATGAGTCGATATCGCAGTGCAAAGGGTCCAAATGGTTTAGCTGATCTGTGACTAATTTGGCACATTTTGATGGTTTTCTAATGGGATTCAAATGTATCTAAAAAGAGTCTCTATTAGTAAACCTCTAGCAAAACATTGTGGCTTAAGCATGATTCAGTGGACCTAATGTGATATATTTGTCAGTAATTATGCTGCACTTTAGTAGTCTGTATGCAAGGATACCGAAAAGTAATTATAAGAAGTAAATATATGGAAAACTGGGTCATGGGATATGGTTATCATACTGTGAATATTTCATACATATTATATTTCAGAATTAAATCATTATTTTCCACTATGATTAGTGGAAAATATAACATTGTGATCATTCTTGCTGTCAAAGAAAACAAACATTTGCAATTATCCCAAACAAAACTCTTTAAAGAGGAAATTCCAAGGAATCAGTGAAGCTAAGCATAACAACATTACTGAGCAAAACTGTTTACAGAGATCGTTGCACAAAGCTAATGACAGGAAGTTTTGGGGATGATGTTGGAGTTCTGACATCCTGAGCTCATCTCTCATTTACACGATGTGCCAGCAGTTTGGATGGAAGACAAAGCGCCAGTGTATGCCCACACTTTTCATGTTCCACTGCAGAGATCTTTAGGTGGGCAACTTTGTATTTCAGGAATCTGGGCACAATACTGCACATTGATGTCATGTTAGCGGTGCAAAACATGAATCATTGTGCTGGTTCGCATTCAGTGCTGGAATCAAATAGCAGGATACTAATTTGTAATACTGCCATCTGAAGATAAAGATTCTTTAATGCTGACTGAGCAGTGTAGTGCTGACATTTGCACGGTCTGCATACATGTGTAAGGTTGTTTTTATCAATCTATGCAATAACTTGCAAATCTCTGCATACTGAATGATTATTTTGCAAGTAAAGCTGTTGTAACAGTTGAATGTGTTGTGTATATTAGATGTGTAATGCAATGACACTATCTGTATCTGTTTATTGCTCTAATTATATTAGAGTACTAAATTGTAATACCTGTATTCTAATTTAAATCATTAGTGGGCATGGCCTAAACCAGAAAAGTTTTTTTTTTTTTTTTTTTTTTTTTTTTTTTAAATAAACCCTACCACTATGCCCTCAGAAAAACAAGATTACATCCCTTGAATATATGAATTTAAGTTATATACACTGTCTGAGATCACTCATAAGAGTAAACATTCCAAGGTCGCCAAAAACTTGCTAAGAGTACATTTCACTACACATCTGTACTTGTCACATTTGATAAATAACGTCTTGTGAATGACTGCTCTCCAAATTCTTTTACCCCTTAACCCCTTAAATTCCCAGGATCCATCTGCAGGTCCAGACCTTTATTCTTAACTGTCATAAATACATATTTCTTCTTTTAGCTTCACTCTAGCTACTAAAAATATGCTTTAAAATGAATAACTACATAATAATTTGGGACTTTATTCACAAACTTTTTTTTACTATTATTGTGAGGACATTAATTACACTAAAAGAGGGCAGACCACAGTATGTACACATTTGTTTTGCATTTGGGAACTGATGGACTCGTCTTGTTGTTGTTTTGTATAGAATTCACTTTGAACTTGGAATTTCAACTCTACTCTGACCTGACTGTATAATATTTATAAGTAAATCTCATACATATATTGATACATATTTTGCCATAGTATTTAGTATGTGGTTTTGTATAGAGCATGGTAGTGGGTGTTATGGCTATTTTATATCATTTAGGAATTTTTTGGGGGGTTTGGATTTACTGCTGCTTGCCTGTGAAACACTGAGAATCATGTTTACATATTATTAATAAACTGTACTGCCTTTTTTCCTCTTCTACTCCCAGCCATTTTTATTTATAAATTATTATGTTCCTGATGTTCATAAATATTTACTAGTTGACACATGTAAGCTTTCAAATGCAGCTTCTGCTTCTCAACCCAATTTTTAACCTGAGTGTAATGCAGAATATGAAGTAAAGAAGGAGTGGGGCAGGGCAGTAAGTCTTTTCAGAGTGATCAGTTTATACTACAGTTTATCATCAATAGCCTAGCAGGAATTGTACACTTCTCAAGGCTATTTTCATTCATGTTGTTGTAGTGTTGATTTTCCTAGCCAGCAATAAGTGACTACGATCGCACTTAACCTTTAACTGATGTGACTCACTTGCGTTGTTTATTAACTGCATCCATGGTCCAGCTACAGTGATGTATACATGCATCTATTGTGTGACTAAGAAATCTCATTCATCTTTAAACTTTAAAATCTTTAAAGAAAAAATTTATAATAAAATTTTAACAGGATTATTGTCACTGCTGGAATGAAGAAACCACAGGTTTTTTGTCAGCATTGCTTCAACTATTTATAGTCTAAAACCAACCAATTTTCACAATATAGCCTCTTTACAAGTGCGGTTTGCATGGAAAGAGTCAATCTGGTTACCATGTAAAAGTTGCTGCCATAACAAATATTAGCAGGCTATGTCCAAAGCAACATGCTACTATACTAAATAGTATATATACCATAGTTTTAGTATGCATATTAAGCTATATACATCCAGTATTCTATACTATGTAGTAGTCTGTTAGTTCATGAATAAAACTGCTTTTTGAAAAGTTCCTGCTGTTTACTGTTTACTAGGCAGCTATAGCTTATATATTAGAGGGTCAGAGTACTCATTTTTCTGCCAATTTGGGACAATTAAAGAACATTAATAATTCATGCAGTACTATTTTCATTTATTTGTTTGTTTTTTTGTCCAGGCGGCACAGTGGCACAGCAGGTATTGTTACCATTTCACAGCTCCAGGGCTACTGTTTGTGTGGAGTTTTGCATGTTCTTGTGTCTCTGTGGGTTTCCTCCAGGTTCATGGGTTTCCTCCCACCTCCCACAAACATGCCAGTAGGTTGATTGGCTAAGCTAAATTGCTGTGTGAATAAGTGTGTGAAGGTGTATGTGTATGGTGCCCTGCAAAGAACTGGCATCCCATCCAGGGTCTATCCCTGCCTTGCACCCAGCGTGTTCCTGTGCTAGGCTCCAGATCCACCGTGACCCTGACTGGGATACAGCGGTCACGGAAAATGAATGAATTTTTATTTTTGCTTTATTACATTACGAACACTATACAAAATATTACAGTCAAAGTAGTTGATTATTTTTGCTATGACTAGGAATCTACCCTAATTAAACCGAGCAAAAGCACTCAAAATCTCACACATCCTGAGTTTTCCAAATATAAAAATGTCTCCATGTGACCAAATGCATCACAGATATAAGTGACGTATACACACAAACGTCAAAAGTGTTGAATTTTTCATCACCATGCCCTATACTGTCCACAGTAAACTCTTCAACCAAGTTTACTTGCCAAGTATTTTATCCATAAATGTAAGGTATCAAAAATTAACCCCCTTTTTTCTCACTTTCAAAGAGATTTTGGGAACTATATTAAAAATTTGTCTACCTCTGGTATATATAAAAAAATTTTTAATAAAAATAAATAAATAAATAAATAAATAAATAAATAAAAGCTACAAAAACTCTGTACTCTATATCTTTTGTATAATTTTTTGTTCTTTATTTATGTATATTTTGAAGGGAGGGGTGCTGTATGTAAGTGACTTATGTACCAGTTTTCCTTAATTTCTCTCTTTGTTTTTCTTTTTATCTGGGTAAGTATTTTGCTTTGGCACTTTATTATGTTTGGCTATGAATGAACCCTTGGCTATTATCCCTTGGCATATGTTCTGTTTACAACCCTTGTTTTGTATACAATTGCTGATTAATTTAAAAAAAAAAAAAAAAAAAAAAAAAAACTCTTCAGCCATAAACAGTTAAAAAATGACTGAAGAGTAAAGTTTTTTTTTTTTTTATGTAACCCTTTGTATATATATTTATCAGCAATTTCTTATCTGGATGTCTTGTTATGTATATATAATGTTTGTACTGTACATGCAAAAAAAATATATATATGCAACTTGCCTGGTTTAATCCCTGGGTTTGAGGCTGTTATGTGATTCATATGTCAAAAGGTGCCGCGGGCTGGTGGGCGGGGCTTTTGTGCGCGAGGCTGCCCTTTCCAAACGTCCCCGCCCCCTTCACGCATTAGGACTGATGCAGTCCAGCTCAAGTCCCTGACACTTCCCTGAACATTTCGTTAGAAACTAACATCAGTCCACGAATGCCTGTGGATCTGTAGGCTAGACTGGATAGTTAGGCTTTGTTGAAATTCAAGAAAGAAGAAAACAAGCTTCAGGATGCAAGCGATCAACTTGGACACGTTCAGCCTGTCGCTGCTGACCGCCAAAGAGGACATCCTGAACGGCCGCGCATCCACAGACTGGTACAGTGTGATCCTGTTCCTCATCCCCACCCTCACGCCGTCCTACTGCATTTCTGGGTTGTACAGTTCAGCATGTAGTTTTTGAACATGGCGTTACTTGTTTGCAAGGTCTTGCGCAGCTACTTTTCTTCTTCCTCGTGTCTTCTTGCGCAGTAACACTTTGGTGAAGAGTGTGTGTGTGAGTAGGAAGAGAGAAAAAAGTTTTCTTTTTTTTTCCTTTCGAAAATACTTGTAGGGTTTCTGCGCGCCGTGGCTTAGTGGTTAGCGCTGTTCTCGCGCCCTAAGGGTTGCGGGTTCGAATCCCGCCTGTGCGCGTGCAGTTTGCGTGGTCTCCCCGTGCTGAGGGGGTTTCCTTCCCTAGTCCACAGACATTCACTGTAGGCTTGGGGGAATTTCCCAGTTGTCTGGGATGGATGTGTGGTTGTGCGATGGGTTGGCACCCCACATTGTGCCCCAAGTAGGAATAGAGGTGCCCTGGAGAGGCTCCTGGTGACCTTGTGTAGGATAAACAGTGCAGAAGATGGATGGGTTTTGAGCAAAATGCCATGAAAACGGAAACAACATGGACAGCTCAGCCACTCATGTAAATGTCCAGTCCTGTGGTTTAGATAGTACAGTCTGGATGCGGTCAGTCAGATAGGACTTTATTTACTGCATGATTTCTAGAAATGTTCTTTGAATATGGTAGAAATGGAGTAGTTTGCATAGCACATGTTATTGCAGTGTTACATTTTAACTTCTATTCCAGCTCCTAGAACTCCTAGAGACACTTTAGCTGAGCTTGGATAACACAAAACAATTCTAGACTGACTCTCTGTCCCTGAGGACTGGGCTGGGAAAAGATTGCAGCGTTAGAGGCTCCAGCTACAGGAAATATTTATTGCCATATAAATCACATTCTTGTTTCTTTCCATGAGTGGTTTAAACAAGAGAAATAGTCCATGTGTTTGTGCGTGTGCATGTGTGTGCATGCGTGAGTGTGTGCATATATGCATGTCTAAACAGCACTGGAGCAACACCTTGTCTTTGTGTGGTCATCCTATGGTCTTCCTATTTGCATTGTTCTGCATGTTCAAGGGTAATAAGGCATTGCTACTAATTTAGTTGGTGCTGGCTTGTGTTTATGCTTGTTAGTGTAAATCTTGCACCTTGCCCTCTTTTATCTTTCATGTCTCCCGTCATTAATTCAGACCAGCTATTAACTTTTGTAGGCTGCTATCATACCTCATTATGTGTAAGCCCACGGCGTCACATGGATTTCAGTAAGAAGCTGGCCCACTGAACTGCTTGCACTCAAATTATATTTTATAATTAAGGTCAAAACAAAATGCTTTAGTTACTGTTGCATACAGAAGGTGTGTACAGACATTTTTTTTAAATCAAGGCTGTAAGGGGGAAAAATGTAGAATCATGGGCCATAGGCTATCTGTGGTACTAAAAATAGCTAATGCATGCTCAAAAATCACTAGAAGTCACCAGGGGATGTAATGGACTTATTTGCATATTCACTGAATTGTTGTGATGATTTGCATATCAAAATGTGATAATGAAGAAGGATTTTCTGAAGATACAGAGTAGAATGTGCTGTCAGAATAGAAAGTAATAGAGAATAAGTTATTTCTTGTAGAAATAAGTTGTTTTGGTCATGGCACCACAAACTAACTGTCTGCTTAGTTACAAAATAATATCAAGAATGTAGACAAAAAGAAGCAGTGCTGGTCAGGAAATAGACACAAAGGAACCGTTACAGGTGGAATAACTCACTTTTATTACTTAAATAAATATAGCAAATAAGACTGCTTAAAACAAAGAACAAAGAAGCGCATGGGTGGGACAAACAATGGTGATTGGTAATTGTGAAATAATGGTGATCGGTGATTGGTCATTGTGAAACAATGGTGATCAGTGATTGGTAATTATGAAACAATGGTGATAGTGATTGGTCATTGAGAAACAATAGTGATCAGTGTTTGGTCATTGGGATCATAGGCTAGTGCAAGCACAACTCGGTCACTGATGGTGAGTTGGCCAACCCTGCTCTCTCAACTTGTATAACCAGCAGCTGTGGTGTGAACTGGAGAGTCGTATCAAAATAAAGGTGCTAAAGAGGTCTAAAGGATTTCCAGATTTAGCTGCAAAATCAACAAGAAAAAGCAACAAAATGCAGAAGTTACAGCATGTCTGTAGGCTCATATGTGGATTTAAAGACACTCTCATACGTTTCTGAGTAGGCATAAATTGATGACTGCTCTATAAATATCTCATCAGGTTATTGTTTCATGTTAGCAGTGAAGATTATAAACATTTATAAATCTAACTTAAAGTCTACTCAGAAATCCTGTTATATTGGCTGTAGCTAGTAGCTAGCAGTAATACTGAAAATTATGACCATTTATGAATTTGAATTATGAACTCGAAACTCATTTGTTAAACATTTGTGAATATAACTTAATACCTTCCTGTCATATTAATTCCTATCAGAGTATTTCAAGTAATAGCTGGAGTTGATGGAAGTGATGGTTATGAACATTTATAAATATGACAAAAATCCTCTCAGAAATCTTGTCAGGTTGGTACATGTCAGGTCATGGTCATGCCAAGGTTTTTTTCTGGATCCTCACAGAAATCCTCGCTGTGGTCCATTCTGAAGTGATGAACCCTGTATAGGGTGCTTTGGTGGGGACTGGCCATTTGTAGGGTCACTCCATGCTGAAGCGTTGAAAGGTATTTACTTCAAAGGATACATCAAAACGGTCATTTTTCGAAGAGAACAGCCAGTGGTTACTTTTCTCCCAAGATTCTCTGCACTGTTTTTATGCTGAAAGAAAAAATGATTTATAGTCCCGCTAACCGTTGTCAGCCAGAGGAGAATGGGCTCCCTTTTGAGTCTGGTTCTTCTTAAGATTTCTTCCTCATGTCATCTCAGGGAGCTTTTTTGCCACTGTCAACTCTGCCTTTCTCATTTAGGGATCTAAATATAAATCTGCATCCGGATTTTTGTAAAGTTGCTTTGTCACAGTGTCTAGTGGTAAAAGTGCTATGCAAATAGAAAAAAATGGCTGCTGCAACAGGAAGATAATCTGTAAATGCAGGTGAAGTCCAAGGAATTAACACTGACTTTTATGAACACAGATATGAGCACGTGGAATAACACATGTATGAACAGGATTGTGATTTATAACACTGTCTTGCATCAAAACTAACAGGGATTTGAGTACAAATGATGCCTCAGCTTCAGCTGCATGGATACAAACTCCACCCACTAGTCTCTTTTTTTACATACAGCATACAACACACACCAATTTCCCGTTTCATATATAGATCAAACAAAATGAAAAAAAAAAACACTGAAAAAAATGAACCTGCCATTAGGTTAGCTAACATTTTCCAGGTAATTATCATATTCTTTCACTACAAGAATTGAATCTTTTCCTCCTGCTGCCATGGCTACCCAAAAGCTTGTAACGTTAACAAGCTTTTAGCATTCCCCTCATTAACATTCTTTATATGGGAAAGAGGAGGAGGCTGGAAACTGATTGTTTTTTAGACTGATGTTTACATGAAAGCAACATTCACTGTTTAATACTAATTTTTTAAACCAGATTAACTTGAATTTATTTTTAAAATAGATTCTAGGCTGTTTCAAGAAATGGTGTCAGGCCATAGCTAGACCCCCCTGCTCTAGAGTATTTAGAAGGATCTTAACAAAAACTCAACATTGGTCGATTGTGTGGTATAGTATATTGATTCTAGGGCAAATGGACTTGCATGTGTGCAGCCTATTACCATTTCTTATATTAAATTACCAACACTTCATTAATAACCTACACAGCATGTCAGTTAAGGTGAATGGATCGAGTGCCAGTATGTGTTTTATGATGCCAACAGCATGCTAGCAGGCACGGTTCCTACAGATGTCCCATGAGCCAAGGCCCAAAAGATTCAGGCAGCTCCCACTCTGTTTTTCCACGAGGTTAATCTCCGTGGAAACTTAGAGGGAAACAGACACGAGAGCTTAAAATTGCTCGAGTCTCTCAAGCCCATTCATGTGTTGCTTCTCCATGCTATCCGGTGGAAACTTGAACAGTCATGGTCTGTTTTTTTTGCAGCACATCTCACAGTCACCTTGAGGTCCAGGATCACTGAAACGAGACTAAACGCTCCATAAGCAGGATGTAAAATGCACTCTGGCGATACTGTATGCTATGAGTAGATTCTGTGCAAGGTATCAGAGCAACAGTTCAAAGCTAACTCCGTAGTTTTATTTTATTTTTTTATTACATAGTCTACATTCTTGGTGACTTTTCACTTACATGAAGCCCCTAAAAGGAAACATTTCCTCTCTGTGAACTGGCACATTGCTGCTTTTTTCCCCTCATAAAAAGCTGACAGAGACCGAAGGTTGACACTTACATATTAGATTTTTCAGATTGGGACTGCTGATGCTTTTTCTTTAGAATACTTCTGTTGTAAAATAGCACACCTAGCTGCTAAAAGACTGTTGATGAAAGCAAGCATTTTTAAACTTTATCTCCTGATCTACATTCCTAGGAAATTTATAATTCTTTGGTTGTTGCTCAGGGCAAAGATTTTATGCTGAACTCTACAACAGAGTGTTTCCCTATTAGGAAGAGTTCCAAATCAAGCCTTTTTTAGAAGTGAAGAACACTTAATTATCCAATAAACCTTTGAAGAACCTTTTTTTTTTTCCTTGTGTGAGTGTTACTGATTAAGTGTGGCTTTTGTTGGGTGCATAGGAAATTTGATTCAGGACATAGTACATGTTGACCGTCCTGTGCTAAGGCTGGGCTCTTTTGGCATTTATACCCTCAGTTTGACTAGTGTAGTTACATGAAGACTCTGAACGTGAACATTCCCTTTCTGCTTGCTGACACGTCTCTGCTCTTTCCACTCTTAAAAATCCTGCCAGAGTTAAATTTAGTTCTTCTGGTGCTGAACAATCAGATTTGCTTATTGCAATGCTTGATCAAATTTCTCACTCCACAGTTGTTTCTCTCCAGCATCAACCAAAGAAATGGTTTCAGTAAGTCCTACGTTCTTATTTAATTACAAATGCTGTCAGCTGTCTTCAGTATCATAGGAATTTATTGACTAGAATCATCATAGTTTAACGCAATACTGCTGGATATAACAAGGCTTTTCCTGCATCTGGTGGAGAATGGATGTGTCCAAGTAACTGGGAGTTTGGCAAGCACTCCATTTTTTCTCCACAACTCAGCAGTTTGCTATGTGTGTCAGTTTCAAGGTTGTTCATTTCCAAAAGCTAATCAATGACGATACAGTGTAAAAACTT